GCGTCCGGTGGGAACGGCACCGGCTGCATTTGTCCTTCCGCGGACACGTGGAACGAGTACGCGCTGCAAATATTAACAACAATTAATATTTCTGACCTTTTTAATATAATAGTCTGATTTAGAACATGGTTTCTCTTACTATAGATTGTGTATAATTGCAATGCCGGAAGTACGACTGTTTGGACTGGTAATGCCAGTTTATTTAAATGTAATTTGTTTGTAATAAGGTATTATCAAGATTTGAATCGAGATTTTGTTTGTTTCTGATAATTATTCTTTATACTAATAATATAAATACGAAAGTTTAGATGGATGGATGTTTGTAAGAGTTAGTAGCCTAAACGGCTAAACAAGTTCCGATGAAATTTGGTGTAGATGTAGAGGATAGTCTAAAAGAATACATAGGCTTTTGTTTTTTCAATTCCACACAAACGGAGTCGCGGGCGAAAACTAGTATATGGAACTGATTTTTAATAATTTATGAACAATAGTCAAACAGCAGAGCTACTGAGGGAACGTATAGTGAGCTGGTGATGATTAAAACACAACACATCACATAACACATTGTAAAGTTTTTAACAGATATGGAATGCAACAGGTGTTTTAGCTAAGTTATTAATTTCCAGTTTCATAGAATTGATCAATTATAAGAGCAATGTTTAAACGTTATTTAACAAACGATAATAACTGGTATTCAGGTTAACATAAATGATGAATCGTTTCCGATCATCAATTATTATAATTTCAATAAATTGATACTCGTAACTCCGGATACCGGCATGCGGAGGCGGTATTACGATTTGCTGTTTGAACGATCATAATAATCATTTAGTAATTCTAATTATATTATCAAATCAAGTTTACCAAGAACTACTGTTAATTAGTGTTGAAAGTGTTTAATTCATGAAAAAATGTAATTGATATAGTTAACTATTGTAATAACATGGATGACCCATACCACAATCACTTTATGTTTTAAAAAATTGGGAAAGATAATGTACATATGACTAGCTGTTGTTCGCAACTTCGTCCCCTTGAAACTAAAGCCTTTGTTACTCGGTGACAACATAGCTTTATAACAGTGCAAGATTTTTTTTAAATCGGACTAGTAGTTTTGAGTTATCTCTGGATATAGAGATGAAAGGTTTAATAGAGTAAAGATGCTTACGGTTTGCCTCCAGGTATGGGCGCGAGTGCGGAGGGTCCAATGGGCGCGCGCAGGGGTTCATAGGCGAGGGCCGCTCGCGCGGAGTATCCCGCTAGGCCGTAGGCGTCGTGTGCGCCGTTGCCGAGGTAAGGGTACTGCAGCGCGGGAGGTTTGACAGCGCCTTTGAGTGGTGCTGCACTCGCTCCGCTCGCTGAGGTCGGTGTTACGGGTTTAGAAATCGGCGTACTCGGCTTTTCGTCTAACTTTTTCGCCGATGGTGTGGATGCATTGCTCGATGTCCCTGATCTGTAATATTATTAACATGCCGTTTAACTTATTTCAATCATACGAATACAAGTGTACTCTTTTGTTGCGTGTAATGTCAGTTATTTGTTTGGTTTCTAAAATGATCAAGCCCCTATTTAAACTTTTCCAATAATAGATAAGTCCATCGATAAACACAATTAAAATGTAATCGTTTTTATGGCGAGCGCGCGTATTCGTGTGTTTAAGTGATTAAACGGCCGGCCATTAGCGTGCTTACCCTATTGTGACCTTAAGCGCGTGTAATGCACCAGTTCACAGAATACGGCTTCGCTAAACGGATACGGAGATTATATCGACGTTTATCCGACTCCACATAATGCCCGCTCGACTGTAGGCGTGACACTAAACGTAATTCAATACGATACTCGTAATGCGGACTTTGAGTTCGCTGAATTATTGTGGCTAATAATTAAATACCAAGTTAAATTTAGAGACAAAAATACGAAATGTTTATTTTTGTCTTTGTCTATTACGATAACATTAATTAACATGGAGTTGCTAAAAACCCGCAAATTCTCAATTTACCATCAAACTGAGTCCTCGATAGTTAATAAATAATTATTTTAAATTTTTAAGATCAAAAATCATTATTATCCGGGATTCTACAACATTTGCGTTGTTTTAGCACTGATGTGTCTTAAAGCAAAAACTGACCTCGGACTGTGTGGCGGGTGTTCTTTCTTAGGCTGCAATTTGTCCAGTCCATTTTCTCTTGGTGAGGGAGCACCGTTGTGTGGTGACGTAGGCTCTTCGCTTGCGTCGTCTACTACTAATTCCTGTAAAAAAAAAACCATTCTCAAAACTCATTATACTATGAGGTTCTTCATGGCACCTCGGGCAGAACAGTACTCTTGTGAGCGATGTGCCAAATCAAAGGCATTACTATAGTTAAAATGGTAACTGTGATTTAAATGTAATGCAGATAAAAGCAGAGAAAGTTTCTACAATAATCCGTTTTCTTGTAGCAAGCGATGTTTCCTTGAAAGTATTCTGCTTAACTGTACGACGGCACATCTGCAGTGTAATGCAAAATTCATATCTTAGCTCCCATTTCGAAACCAGGTGTTTACAACTGTGGATAAGTTTACTTCTTACGAAAGAACGTGGCTTAGTAAAATGTTTTTAGTTTCAAGCATTTTCATTTCAAATTTGTTCTGTGTACTATTAAGATTGAAGTCGTTTATTCGTAAAACACAAATTTATTTGGAATAACATCTAAAAGCATGCTTTAATATGATGGAAGTAACAGATTATAAATACATTGACAAACCACTGCGGGGCTTTATGTTTGAGTAAATGAATAAAATATAAATATCGCAAGAGCTTTTAACTTACATGGCCCATATCCTTTTCCTCCTTTTTGAGTTTTTTGTGTTCCGGTTCAGCGGGGCTTCGCGTTCTGTATTTCTCCCGCTCGCCCGGCGATATGGAATTTCTCTGCAAAACGAAAACATAAAAGGTGAGAGGTCGATACTCGATGCACGCTATCAGCTCTTGTTAGCAGTACAAATAGGAGAGGGTAAACATAATCAAAACGTTTACGGGCTTACGTACGTACTGGCAATCAATCGATCATTGTTCGCAAATAAATCGACGCGCAGCGAGGCGGACACTACGGTCAATATCGATATCAAAACACGTTGAGGCAGAACAAACTGACCGCATGATTAGCTGCGGGTGAGGCCGCCAGGGGGAGACGAGATAAAAGGGGAGGACGCTTGTGGGGGCCGTGGGGGAGGCTGCAGCTTTAGCCTCGACTGTACGGACCTAATGAAATAATCATATGTGACGAACCTCGGCCACTATAACTCGTTCTCGTTCCAAACTGTCAAATGTCTATACTCTCGAAGCACTTTGTGCGAGTTTGCGCTTCAAATATTCCACATTTCAGAATATTGAGCGACTTTGTTAATTCGGTAGCGCGAGGTTTCCCTTTGTTGCATCGACATGAACCACTTGTATTAAATATTGTTTAATGGCACCAAAATTGTATATTACGTCAATATCTAAATCTCAAAATGAACATAGCTACAAATGTAGTAGGTTACCTTCTGTTATACATGGCTGCCTACATATAAATTGGTCAGGTCGTTTATAATCTTGAATGAGAAATGTCCGTTGTCTAATCCGGGTTTCTCAGGGGATCTGCAGCGCTCGGCAGCGCCGGAGGGGTCTAACAGGCCTAATTTTACGAGGCACTAAGTTAGAGAGCAGCGGAAAACGGCTGTTAATTCGACCGCCACGCCGCCTGTCGCCGCTCGCTCTGACTTACGACCCTCCCCTCGCGCCAACCACCCGATACCGACATAATAACCCTAACGTCGTGATTCCAATCAGCTTATCGCTGTTCCACAACAACTATTAACGCTATAATAATTATGACAGAATAAATAGGTATGATCCTTTGTTTACGATCACAGCAGGCTAGACGGTGGATTCATTATGCGATAAACGGGTTTATAGAATATAGTACATAGTTTGGACTTAGGATGTTACAAAATAAAACCATCATTATAAATCATTATAAAAAATTAAACATCAGTGTTGATAGCGCTCTCAACATTAATGTTATACAGCAACATATTGGTATAGTAAATGCAATGCGCAAGACAATGTAGCCTATATTGGATTATTGGATATTTGATAGGTCAGACGTAACGTATAAAGTTTTATTGCGAGTGCGAACAGCGAGAATACGTGGCCGTGTGGGTATTACGTGTTGGGGCACAGCTCGATTCGAGGGCCAAATTTTACGAGCGACCGATCTCCACAGCATCGGGTATCGAATTTCCAGCGGTGCTATTCCGAGAGGCGAGTAATGCGACGTGTCGGTCTCGATTGGATGGATTTTATGTCGAAGGAGCGAACGGCTCTAGGGCGCGCCATTTGCGGTTAATCGCTAATTTAATAGATTGAATTTGCGGTTCGCTGCAAACACTCGCTCTGTTGTTATAATGTATGGTATTTATCAATTTTAATGAGATAGATAGATTTGCATCTCTTGCTTTTATTTTAACAAATTCTGCGCAGTGTGTTAAAAAAGAAATTAGGTATTCTTGCTTCCTAATATCTTTTATTCGCTTCGTTTTAAAAAAATAATTTCAAGGTGATTGCGTACTTACTAAAAGGAAACAATTACCTTATGAGCTTCCTTACTTCAGTTGTAATTGTTTACCAACATAATATTACATGTGATAGGCTCAAAAAAGAAAACAAATAGAATTTTCAGCTTAAAAGAAAACAACGTTAATATAAAGCGTATCGAAAACTTTTCCTCATTTTCGAGTCGAAAAGCGAACAGAGCTAATCTGTACTTTATCCCATTACTTGGGTCGACCTCAAGAAAAAGGCAATTGAGTCGGTCCCGGGGGTCGCGAGACGCGGCAGGCGGTGGAGGGAGAGGAGAGGGGAGAGAGTCGGTGTTAAACAAGTACGAGGCACTACAAGCTCCAACAACACGACTTATCGGCTACCGCGGCACAGCGGCGCTGCGCAGGGCTCGCACATGTGTCGCGTGCAGACCGGGGAGGGGGTCGCGGGGGCGGGGGTGTGACGTAACGTATAAAGTGGCAACACACAGGCGCGCCACTAACGCCGGCCGGGCTTATTGTCTGCGGTCACGCGACGAGCCGTTTAGCCGCGCGCGCCTCACCGCCGCCCGGTTAACCGGAAGGGGGGCGGTTAACCGGACGCCGGGGGGCGGAAGCGGGGGAAATAGATAAATAGACCGCCCGCCCGCCACTCGGAAATGTGCGGATTGAGTTCTGACTATATTTCAGAAATAATAGTTTTCCAAATGTTACACGATTTACACGCGACGTTTTACCGGTTTTTATCATGACTACCGGCGTTTTGTAAGGTCTCGCTTTATGACAGTGAAAAGTTTTCTTCGTCATCGTTCTTTCGATGAATTATATTGTCTTGTTAAAATAGTAACTTATTTCTATTTCTAATGTATTTTATCAAATAACAACTTTAAAACAGTTTACACTAATGAAAAGAAAAAGCAGTTGAATTGCGGAACCGAAATAGATAAAGAGAATGTTCCACGAAAACTAAAATGAATTCGTCATTGGGCGTGTAAACCGCGGGGCGCTGAGCGACTTTAAAATTAACTTTACCGGTTCATTCGTATACATAAATAATGAAGGAATTTCTGAATACACATTAAACTCCAATAAAGAATACATTAGCATGAATTTATAGCGGCGAGTCGGAGTCGCGAGCGCGTTTTTACGTGACTCGTAAACTTTACAGTCGCAAGTCGCGAGTGCCGGATTGCGTTTACTGCGCCCGCTATCGGTTTATGGCCCGACCCCAAATAACCGAATCGCTTGATGTTCGCTCCTCCAACGTGTCCTCGCCCGCCGGCATGCACGTCGCCAGCCCTGCCTGCCCTCTCCGCCTCGTTTCGCCAGTCGAATACACGCTTGGACACTTGCCTAACATTATTGTTATGTGCTCCGGTCACTGCTGAGGCATTAAGTTCACAACAAATGCCACGCTGCTTGTCACAGTTTCACAATGCAACTGTATATTACATACTTAAACATTTATATGACACAGCGAGATCTGTGAGTGCTGACACTAAATATACTCCTAGTACTTACGACTAAATACCGAAATTTCGAGACAATTATTACGTAGATAACCATAAGTTACAGTAAATTTGACATTACATTTATCATTTCTACATGGGTACCATGATGCGATTAAAAGCACGCAATAGATGACACAAAACATCAAAAAGCCCCGATTAAATAATTAACAAAACATTATGGAGTGATTTAATTAAGTAATGAAGTGAAATTTGAAGCAGATGTATCAGTCGGGATCAGGGTAGCGAGCGATAAGCAATCTCACCCCAACGTTGTTCGATTACAGGAGTAATTAGCACAATTAACAGCGGGAGGGGTTAGATTAAGGCGCGCTGTGGGTGGGGGTAGGGAGGCAGGTTTAGCTGCGATCGTTTTCATGCACGCAAACAAATGTCACGTGGCGCGCTGGGGCCTTAATTAAAACGGTAATTGAGTTGACTTGCGAAACTCATCCGACGATTTGGGAGTTGAGAAAGTTTACGACGCAACCCTAGCGAACTGCGAGGCCCTAAAGTGTCGACTGTCGACGACTTTAATTTTGTGTTAGCGTCTACTTTGTGGTCCGGGGACAAATTTTAATATGTCGAGTAATACGCGTTGGCACTCTGTATTGCTGCTGAAATAAATTAACAGTCTAATTGAACGTCTGTGCAACCGCGTTGGGTAGTACATTACGACCTATAAAACATAGTAGAACTAAATTACGATACAAATAAAACCTATATTTTAAGACAAGTGGCAATTTGAACAGATTATAAATTATTATAAATGCCATATACTCTATCAACTTGACTCGAATCCACGCTTCACTGCGTCTAACCTATAAACGTTGGATGATTTGCGCCAATTAATAAAACATTTAATTTGTAATAAGGATATTACAATAAGTAGTTTGATAGATTTTAATAAAAGTCTAAATACAAACGATAAATAACAGTTCTCGATCTAATAATGCAAGAGTTCAATACGAAGGGTCCTAAAGGCGCAAGTTGTGGACAAAAGGCGTTTCATTTAATTGGTGTAGGAGGGTAGGGCGCGTCAATCCCTCGCAGATTCGTGCACAATGTGCGCTAGGCCCTGCATGCGCCTTTCCTGCGCCTTGCCTACGCCCTGCCTCTGCCTAGCCCCTGCCGACTAATGCTCGAGATAAACAATTCGTTCCGGCTCCGAGGCCGATTCGCCGTGACCAAGTAATAGCTATTCAAATGGATTTGTAAGGGTGAACGGCCTGCGAAAATAACAGACAAACAGCTAACCAGTTATTTCTTATGTTTTCCTTTTATATAAAAAAATACCACTATCAAAAAGATATTTAACCGTTCGAGAGCTAATTGAACATCAATGTAGAAGTAGTACAGTGCACGGATTTTTTAATTAAAGACTCACACTTCTGCATTCAGTGTTGACATAATTATATTCTATTTGAGATCACCGACTTCTGTCATAATTTTGTAATATGATAATAAAACTGTTCCCTTAGCTAAAATTACCGTAACGGAAGTCCAGAGAACTGTATAATAAACTCCAATAATTACTTCAGACAACTCATGTGTAACTTTATAAAGAAGCATTATGCTACCACGCTATAGAAGGATCATAAAGCTATTTAGTGACAAGATAAAATGTGTAGAAGACAGCGAGCGGCGGCGCGGGCGGCGGTATTTAAAAGACCACTCCCCCGTCGGCCGTCAATAAAACATTAAACACGTAACAAGTTTACGCGGCAACCCTAGCGGATTCCAGCACTTCGTTAATCCTTGGCGGGGGCAGCCCTGAATTAGGGTCGACACGAGCCTTAATCCCCCGCTCGTCGCGACGGGGGATTTATATTGTTATTGC